ACTTATGCCCCAAGCATGACAAATAGGATTAAAATTCCTTCCATGAAAAGAATACATTCATTTATGCTTCCACCATACATTTATATCCAAGTCGTGCTTTGCAAAGTCTTATGTGCTTGTTTTTTCCTGACTATTCTATGTGTTCTCAGCAGTGGTCCTGAGGGAGACAGACGTGCTTTCCCCACATGAGTCACTGCATCATTGAGGAACAGGGTGGCCAGGTGACTTGCCCCAGCCTACATGGACATTTCATGTAGATATAAACTTTGGGTCTTGGTTTTAAGGTCTTCCAAGTAAATTCATATGTATCGTGTTTCCTTAACTTACATGTTTTAGATTTCCTACCTGAAAATAAATATTATGTGGCCGATGTGTATTGGAATGCCTTCTCTGTATACTAGGATTTTGCGGGGATTATGAGGGTGTCAGGAAGCTTATATATAGCATAAGTGGGGAACAATTTACATACACCAAAGAAAATAGCTAGCAGTGTTGGGTGGTAGTAAGTAGGGGGTCGGGAGTGGTGTGGACCATTGTTGAAGCCTTGTGAACTGCTGATGGGGAAGGTAGCTTGGGGAAGGGCGTTGGAAGCTGGAGGATGGGAAGGATTTGTCTGGAGGAAGGAGAGTGTTAGAGGCAGGCAGACAGGAAGTTTGCTGATCTGGCTGGTTAACAGAGGTTTCCCCCAGTTTTCCCCGTGATTTAGAGGAGTGCATGTTTCTGGGTACCTTATCTGGACTGTATATAGAGGTCTTTTGACATCTGGGTCTATCCTAAGCTCTTGTCTTTCACTTCCCTGCCATCCCAGAGCTCATTGGGCTGGATGGCGGTGGAGGCGGGGATCCTACATAACCCAGGCCAGGTCTGCGCTCCTCTCCCTAGAGTCTGTTCAGAGCGGGAGGCTGTGGGGGATGGAGAAGACTGTGTGCACCCCTTCCTCCTCAGCCTTTCCAGGGCCAGATGGGCAGAACGAAACCATCTTTGAGTTTTACAAAGAACAGAAGGCACAGCTGGTTTCCCTGGCCAACTCTCAAAGCCAGTGTGCACTTCGAACCCTGTGGTGGTGTACTTCCTGCCCGCTCAACCCTGAAGGTAGGTGTCAGAAGGAATCTTGCCTTCGGAGGTCTGAATGCGTCATAACCCTTCCTTAACTGCAGGGCATGATGGCAGGGCTTGGGTTTGGACCAATCTAAGAGGTAGGATTTCAGGCAGGATAGATAGTGATAATTGATTTCTGGTCAGAGGGGATATTGTAAGTTGCCTCAAAAAATAAAAATTGAAAAAAAAATTGAAAAAGGGGACTTTGGGTATAGGGAACTGGGGGTCTTTCTAGAGGTTCTGAGCTGCCATCTGCCCAATATGGTTTCTTCTAATCCTTCTAGCTCATTCCAGAAGTGCTGTCCAGATCCGGCTGTCAGTTCTGCCCTCTCCTGAGGGTTAGGATTAATAGTGTGTGATTGTGTCTGCCTCTTGGGCCGCCTTCCGGGAAGGCCCACGCCAGGGGATGGGAGGTATGAAGGGTCTGGTGGGTGCAAGAGCTGGGCCATCCACACACCTGACCCTTCTCTCTCATCCCCCCATTTGGTGAACATTTTTCTCATGTCTGGTCTTCTTGACTTGTTGCTCATGCAGCACTGTGGCCCAGTGACATCTTACCAGCACCCCAGTAGGAACGTGGGTTTTCTTTGTGGTCAGGACCCTGACATACAGGGACATCCTCAGATAGTGAAACCCCTGAGGGAAAGGATGGGGGGGGGGTCCTTCGGACCACATAGCATGGTGACCCAATTTGACCTATTTAAAGATTTTTAAAAACTTTAATTGGGATAAGTACACATAACATAAAATTTACCCTCTTAACAATTTTTAAGTGTATAATTCAGTGGCATTAAGTATATTCATATTGTTATGCAACTATTACCCCCATCCATTTCCAGAACTTTTTCATCTTCCCAAACTGAAACTCTGTCCCCATTAAACACTCACTCCCCATTCCTCCTTCCCCCAGCCCCTGGCCATCACTATTCTACTTTCTGGTTCTATGAATTTGACTCCTCTAGATACCTTATATAAATGTATATATGTATATAAATACAATATTTGTCCTTTTGTGACTGGCTTATTTCATTTAGCATGATGTCCTCAGGGTTCATCCACATTGTAGCGTGTCAGAATTTCCTTTTTAAGGCTGAATAATATTCCATTGTATGTTACCACATTTTGTTTATCCATTCACCCATCGATGGACACTTGGCTTGCTTTTACCATTGACTATTGTGAATCATGTTGCTGTGGGCATGGATGTACAAATATCTCAGATACTTTTCTGCTTTCAATACTTCTGGGTATATAATGAGAAGTGGAATTGCTGGACCATGTAGTAATTCTATTTTTAACTTTTTGAGGAACTACTGTACTCTTTTCAGCTACTCTGAAAACATTTTACACAGCGCGCAGTCATTCCAATTTTTCTACATTCTAATCAACACTTGTTATTTTCTGTTTAAAAAAATTTTTTTTTCAATGTCTTAATTTTTTTGAAGTTTTTATTTAAATTCCAGTTAGTTCACATACAGTGTAATATCAGTTTCAGGTGTACAATGTAATGATTCAACACTTCCATACATCACCTAGTGCTTATCACAAGTGCCGTCCTTAATCTCTGCACAATCACAGTTGTTTTTGTTTTTGTTTTTGTTTTGATAGTAACCATCTGAATGGGTGGTCCAATTTGGACTATTAACTAATGAGTTAATTAATTCCTTCTGTACATTTAAAAATTTTTTTAAAAAGATTTTTTTCTCTCATTTATTCATGAGAGACACAGAGAGAAAGAGAGAGAGGCAGAGGCAGAGGGAGAAGCAGGCTCCCTGCACGGCAGGGAGCCCCATGTAGGACTTGATCCCAGGACCCTGGGATCATGACCTGAGCTGAAGGTAGATGCTTAACTGACTGAGCCACCCAGGTGCCCCTCTGTACATTTTTATCATGTCCTTTTCTACCAATTCCGACTTTGCATGGACTGTGTCATTAAGGAAAAAGAAAAATCAGTCTTTCTTCTGACTTCCTGCCATTTTAAATTATCATCCTAAGTGATATACTTGGAGGCAAAGGATATAGGGAGAGCATGTGTTTTGGAATCAGATAGGCCTTGGTTCATCCATCCCTCCCTCGTCCGTCCATGCATCCATTCATTCATCATTTATCAAACCACTTAGGGGCATAGGAGGGCATTGTGCTGGTTTATTGTCCTATAATGAGCAAAACAGGCTTTGGCAAGTTACGATCTAAGTTCTGGGTAAATTAAAACCTTCTGGGCTTTAATTTTATTATTTATGAAATGGAAAAATGGTATTAAGCCCCTAGGGTTCTATGTTGTATACCTCCCTCCCTTCCTTTACCCTGACTTCCTCTCCCACCCCCTGATAGCCCTTACTTTCGCTCCTCCCTCCACTACCAGCTTCCAGAATTCCAGAATTCTATGTACGTGGTATTAGCCCTTCCCTGGCACCGGGCAGTTGGCACACCCAGTTGGCAAGAGAAGGTCACTGGGTGAACCTGTCTTGGTCTCTTTTGTCCTTAGATGCTCAAATTCAGGGAACGGGTGGTCCGTGGGTTGTTGTGGGTTGTTGTGCTCATTTCCCCAGGCATTACCATTGATACCTGTTCCAAAGACTGGTGTGTGCCATGATCATAACACAAGGGGAGCCCGAATGCCCAGCGCTTTCCGCTTACCATGACAAAGGTCCTGGGCCTGTCCCTGTTCTGGGGGCAGAGCAGGACGTGTGCGCCTGGCACGAAGTTTGTTCCACTCCTCACCAGAGGCTGTAGTATTCCTATAGCCATGTTCCGTGCCGCCTGGTCTTCCTTGTATGCTTTGCATCTCATCTGGTTCATGGTGTGGCAGAGCGTTGCAGCGAGAGGGCCGTGTAGGCCAGGAGAGTCAGGGGACTGTGATGCTGGTCACTCAGTCACTTGCAGGGGTTTCTGGAATGGCAATTTCTCTGAGCCTCCGTTTCCTTCACTGTAGAAGGAAAGTTACAATTCCTGGCCTGGTGGATTCACATGATTTTGGCAGGGAGCACGTGAAATGAATGTAGATTATGCACATATTCTGAGTAACAACGTGCTATGCAATGGAGAAATAGTAACACCTCAGCACACTTATTATGTGTGCCAGGCACTGTTTTAGGCTGTCTCCATCTAATGACTCATTTGGTTAAATGTGCAGAGCCACCCTGTGCGAGAGGTACTGGTAACGTCTCCATTTTACTGCTGAGCACACCGAGGCACAGAGAGGTTAAGTAACGTGTGGAAGGTCACAGCCAGCCATGGCACAGCCGCGGCTTGAACCAGGCAATGCGGTGCCAGAGTCTCTGCTCTCGGCCGCTGTACGATCCTGCCTGAGCGCTATCAGCACTTTTTGTTGTTTCTGTTCTTCTTGCACAGCTGGGCGGAGGACACGGCCCCGGTTCATAGGGCACATCAGGCAGGGCCTCCTGTGGGCCAAGGTGTGAGATGAACTGATGGGCATAAACTGTGCCCCAGCCGGCTCTCCAGGGTCCAGTTGCGTGCAGGGACAGGGACAGCTCTGATAATGAAAACTCACGTATTGTTCAGTACATAGCTAGAGCGAGTGATTGGATCTCGTTTGGAGATGGGTGCTGGCGTTTGCCTTCCGGTCGCTCGCTTTCCAGGCCCACTCTGGGAGAAAAGTGCCGATGGGCCCAAGAGCCCAACAGGCAAGACGCCGGAGGGTTCAGAAGGAGCCGCTGAGGTTGCGTCTCCAGTGGGCCTGCTGACGTGTCAGCATACCTCACGGCCGCATTGGAGAGGGTCATCAGAATCCCCGGCCGGGCCAGCCCCATGACCACTGAGCCAGCATCTGTCTGACACACGCACAGAGCGGTGCCCTCTAAGCCCCAGATGCTCTCCCAGTGCAGTTCCCGTGAGCCGGTGAGAATTGCGTGTTTATGCGACTGTTTCTCTTTTCCTCGCAGGCGGCCAGGATTGCTTACCACCTGCAGCGACCTTTCGGAGGAGGCGCCTGGCACGGAGGCCGGGCTACATGAGAGGCGCAGCCGGGCCCCGGATTGGGTTCCTCTGCCCAGCGGCGGCCGCTCCGTTACGGGCCCAGGGAGGGGCGTGCGGTGAGGAGTGCCACCAGTCTGAGTCCAGGGCCGGACGGTGTGGCCGTGATCCTGGAGGCCAGCAGCGAGGCCCCTCAGTTGGGAGCCCTGTTCCTAGGAGCACAGCAGCCTCGGCTCCGACCCCCGTGGGCTGCCTCGGCCTGGCTCTGACCCCTGTAAGAGGACCCCCAGGGCTCTTTGGGATTCAGCTCAGAGCTGCCACCACACTACCTGCCAGGCCGGCCAGGTTGTGTGGCCCTGGGGACACTGGGGGGCAGGACGAGCTCCCGTCCGTGGACAGTTCCGAGGCCCCTGGCCTTGGCTGGGGTGCTGTCAGGGGTGGAAGAGCGAAGGGTACCTGGACAAAAGGCCATCTGGCCCCAGAGGAGGTGACTGGCAACAGCTGCAGCCTCGGAAGTGGCCCCAGGGTCCCCTCAGCCCCTGCCGGCTCTCAGGACGCCTTTACCTCAAGCTTTAGCTTCATACAGCTCTCGCTTGGCTCTGCTGGGGAGCGTGGAGAGGCGGAGGGCTGCCCGCCCTCCAGAGAGGCCGAGGCCCCTTGTCAGAGCCCCGAGGAGACGGAAGCCACGGCTGCCAGCCTGGACAGGCCGCACGAACACCCTCGACTTCTCTCTCCCCACTTGAGTCTGAAGACTGCTCAGCGCCTGGCAGACTCTGTGCAGGCCGCAGGGGGCAGCCGCGGGCCGGAGAGGGAGCCGCTTTCCTTACCGGACGCGGACACCACCTCCTTCTGCTCCCTGGGCCCCTCCTGGCCTGCGGGCAGCAGCTTGGCGGACGCTCAGCGCTGGGGGACCCTGCTCAGGAGGTGCGAGCCCATGCTGCTGGACTGCCTGCTGAGTGACCAGAGGTGGCTGGAGGTCGGTGTCTCCCAGCCCGCGGGGCTGTGACTGTCCCAAGCTCAGATCCGCTCCAGGCAGAGGGCAGGAACCGAGGAGTTCTGGGGTTGACCGCCGGTGTCCCCTTGGAAGCTGCAGCAGCTCGTTTTGTAACCGGCTGCAAAAAGGATGCCGCTGTCCTTCTGTTTCTTGTCTTTCAGTTCGAACACAAATCTGTCCTCGTTCCCGTCTTCTCTGTCATAGTTGCTCAGATTTGCTCTCTGGTGGGTCGCAGGCTCCTCTGCACTTCCCGGCCTAAGAGATATGTGGTTAGCTCTGCCCAGCTCTGCTCTGAAACAGGAACTTGGGGGCAGGGGCAGGGGAGCTGGCTGCTGTGTGGTTGAGGGGTCTGAAGTCGGTGATGCCCCATCATGGGGGTGAGGCTGGCTTCATCTGCATTTACTGTGCCCCTTGCATTTCATCCTGCTCAGTGGGAACTGCCTGACACAGCCAGGAGGCTTCGTTCCTGGGCATTACATCCCTCAGGCTCTCAGTTCCCTTATTTAAAGACGGTAACACTGCACGGGATTGTTCTCCAGCTGCAGTGAGAAGCTGAGGGCTTTTGGAAGCTAGGACGGGTTGTATTTACGTAAGCCCTGCCATCATGAGGGTGCTGTCCACCCGGTTATGTGAGAGATGGGTACAACTGTGAGTAGGCAGTGTTGTGCTACCCCCGAAAAGTTCCCCGAGAAACCCAGGCAGAGATGCTTTGTGACTGACCCACTGCGTTGTGTGTGGCTCATCCTACTGAAAGGCTGTGTTTTCCTTCTGTGTTGTATGTGCATGTGATGTGTGCGCATGTGTGTAAGTGTGTGCATGTGTGTATTTGTATGTGTGCGTACATGTACATGTACACAAGGAAGTAGAACACCCACTCATCAGGCATTTGGTAGAAGTTCCTGAAAATGTGAAGATCGTGTTCATTCCCAGCAATTGCACTCATTTACTTTCAGTTCTTTACATGTGGCCTGATGTTCCTGGCCCTGGCCCTGTTTGCCCTGTTCCAGCCCTCAGGGACCTCAGCCCAGCCATGTGATTTGTATCACAAGGAGATCCTGAAGTCAGGCCGGATATGCGTGCAGGTCTCTGTTCCCAGGTGATGCACAGAACCCTCGAGTTAGGTGTGTTCAAAGCTGACGTCATTGTCTTCCCCACCAAACCTGTTCTAAAAGGCTCTGGTCTTGATATATTTTTGTTGATGTTAATGAATAGCATCCATCCAGCATCGTCAACACCTCCCTCATCCTCACTCCCCCATCTGGTCAGCCCTCATAGTCCTACAGCTAACCTGCCTCTCACAGCCATGGCCTCTGCCCTGGTTCAAACTCTTGTTATTTTTAACCTGGGTTTTGTAAGAGATTCTTGACATATTTACCTTCCTCTAGTATCTCTCCTCTCCAGTTCATCCTCCGGATGGCCAGCAGAGTTATCTTCCGAAGTACCGGTGGGATAGTGTTATTCCTTGGCTCGAAACCTTCGGTGGCTCATTGCTCTTCTCGGGATGGTATCCAAGTTCCTTATCCTGATAATTGAGACCTTTCTCAACCTGCACCAGCCTGCCCCAGTGCCTTACTCCTGCTGGCTCAGCCATCTGGTGCTGCTTCCTGTTCTGAAGGCACCAGGGAAAGCTGTGCCTCAGCCCTTGCCTGTAGTTCTCCCTCTGCCTGGAATGACCTTCCTACACTTTTCCACCTGCCAAGCTCATATAATCCCTTTGGTGTGGGTCTGAAGCCACTTCCTTGTGAGACATTTCCTGCCCCTTCTGGACCAAATGAATCCCTCCTTCCATGTTGCTCCCACAGCACACTGGACATGCCCCATGGTAGCACTCATCGCATTTAATAAGCATTTGTTTGCGGGTCCAAGGTCTGCACTTGACCATGAGCTCTATATACCACAGGTCACGTCTCTTAGACAGTTTTGGATGCCTGATGCCTTGCATCCGTCCTGGCCCTCCGCTGTTGCTTGATTCATTTTTGTTTTTAGTAAAATGATTAATCTCGTTAAGAGGGACCACAGATCCCTAGTTGATGGCTTTCTTGGATTGACTCACTAGGGCATAAGAAGAGTCTGAGAGACAGATATGGAAAGTGTAAAGGGGTTCTCGTCATCAATTCCAACCTTGGAGAGGTATTTGTCCACACCAGCAATTCTCCAGCACTAGCTGGGTGTCCCATAACTCAACGCAGTTCTGACCCCATCTATCCAGAGATAGTATCAGCTCCCACAGTGGACGGGCTCAGTCCCACAAGACTGCCTGCCTCTTCTCTGGAGGCCAGCTGCAGGTCCAGACCATCATCTGCTGTGCTTCTGACCCACTGGCTATAGATCGGAGGTTCCAACAGCAGCCCTCTCCTTGGGTTCGATTAATTTGTTAGATGGCTCGCTGAACTCAGAGAAACGTTTTACTTACTAGATTATACATTTATTATAAAAGGATATAACTCAGGAACAGCCAGTGGAAGAGATACATGGGGCAAGGTGTAGGGGGAAGGGCGTGGAGCTTCTAGGCCCTCTCCAGGCACACCACTCTCCCTGAATGTCCACATGTGTACCAACCTGGAATCTCTCCCAACTCTGTCCTTCAGGTTTTTATGGAGGCTTTGCTACATAGGTGTGACTGATTAAATCATTGGCCATTTGGGATTGATTCAACACCAAGCCCCTCTATCCTCCCTGGATGTTGGGGGCGGGGGGGGGGATGGGGCTGTAAGTCTCCCCCCCCCAGTCATGTGGTTGGTTCCCCTGGCAACCAGCCCTCATCCTTAGGTGTCTTCCAGAAGTCACCTTATTAACATAACAAAAGACACCTTTCTTGCCCTCTTCACAGGAAATTTCTAGGGTTTTAGGAGCTCTGTGTGAGAAATAAACAAAGACCAAATACATATTTCTTATTATGAATCACAAGGTCCCAGGCACTAAGTGGAGCTTTGTGTCATCACACTTTTCCAGCTGTAAATATCTGTATTCAACCTTTCATTTCCAAGATCTCTTAAAAAACTCTTGACAACATATCTGTATTTCTCCATCTCAAAAAATTCAAGTTTTGACTCAGGTGAAGCAAAAGTAGAATGCCATTCCAATGACCAGTGGCTCTCCCTCCCAAATAGCCAAACAAACAGGAACTACCTTGGCAGTGATCCTTCTGCAGTCCACACGATTCCGCTCGCTGGGTTTCCTTTCTTCTATCTCCTCCTACCTGCAGGTAACTCACATCCTCCCGAGAATCTTGTTTGTAATAAACTGGAGTCTGCGAACCCCTGAGCAGTTGCGGCTCTTGGGGCCCAGCCACGCCTCGGGCTCGCCTTGCCAGCTCCCCGAGCCACTGGGTCATTTCAGGGCCTGAAGGTCGGCATTCCTGGGGCTCTGGCTGTGGAAAGCCACCCTGACTTACCTTTTGGGTTTCAGGATTTTTAGTTTAAAAAAAATGCAACCAACCCTAGATACATCTCTTCCTTTAACCTTTATTACCCAGATGCAGCTTTTTAAAAGAATTTATTGGTCAGAGCCCACGAGAGAGGTGTTCCTTGTGGAAGAAGGACAAGGTGGCTGCCGCTTCACCCTGGGGATTCTGGAGGACAGCCCTGCTGCCCGTGGGCACCTGGTGGGGTGTGTGTGTGTGCCTGTGATCCCACGGTGCCCTGCAGTGTGTCAGGTTCATGGGCCTGCCTGGATGCTAGCCTGGCATTTTCCTCTCCCGGCTGTGGAGCCTTAGGTAATTTGTTTAATCGTTCTGTGCCTCAAGATGCTTTTGTTAGAAGGTGGAGATAAACCTCGGTACCCACCTCATTAGATTCTCATGAGGATGAAATGTGCTCACACTTGCTGGGAGCTTCAGACAGGGTCCGGCACTGAGCAAGTGCCCAGAATATTGGTCATTATTATCATTAGAGAAATAGCTCAGAATAAGAGAATTTGGGTCAAAAACACCAAATTCACCCTTCTCCCCATAATTCAAATTAAACTCATATCCTGTCTCAAGTGATAGGATCTGGACACAATTAATCTGTAGTTAAACAAAGTACCTTTGTTTATGGTAAACTAACACCTGAAAAAGCAGAAAACATGATGCTGTTTTCAATGATTTGAATGTCTGTTGTGTGGGAGAGGAATTAGCTTTCTTTGGTGTGGTAGGAGTGATGGAAAGAACTCTGTTTGGGGCATAAGATTTATAGGAAGGCAGATTTTGTTTCAATAGGAAGAAGAGGCTCCTGACAGCTGGAGGTGTCTGGCGTGAGGGGGGCCTTTTGCTTCTTTTTCTATCACGTTTGTGCAGAGGCTTGAGATTGCTCATTCGGGCTCCTGGAGAGGCACTCAGGATTGGGGAGATGTCCTTTGAAAGACTGGGATTCTAGTGTTCTGGGGCCTTTTAGATATTACATTCCAATTCCTTAACCCCTTCTCCCTTCTCTTTAAGTAAAAAAACGGATCTCAGGAATTTGAATTTTCGGTCCTTTTAAAATATAGCCGATCCTCAGTATTTGTTTGCTTACTTTCTACAGTTTATTGGGAACTCCAGAGTCAATGCTCACAGCTCTTTCCCGGTCATTTGTGGATGTGTACAGAGTGGCTAAAAGGTTGGGTTGCCTAATGTGCACTTTCCCAGCTGAGATCGAACAAGGCAATGCTCCCTTCTCATTGCAGCTGCCATCCTGTAAACAAGTGTCCTTTTTTGTGGTCTACTTAGTGCTTTTTGTTGGGGATTTCACTTTCAAATGGCCCACCAGCATAGGGCCGCCATGCTGCCTTGTGCTCCCAAGTGTGAGAAGATTGCCATGTGCCTTATGGTGGAAACGTGACTGATAAGCTCGGTGCAGGCACGAGCTGTAGTGCTGGTGGCCGTGAGTTCTGTTAACGAGCCAGCAATATATATTAAATAAGGCATCTTTCAACTGAAGCACACATAAAACAAGGTTACGTATTGATCAGTTGGCAAAAACGTTGTGATAGGAGGCTCTCAGAAGCCGAACGCTTGTTTCCCCTGGAAGCAATGGCTTAGTGTTTGCTAACTGAGCATTTCCGGGGACTTTATAGAATACAACTACCACGAATGAGAATTGACAGAATGGGTATTTTATGCTGTTTAGAAATAGCCATCCAGGAATATTATGCAGCCATCAAAAGGAATGAGATCTTGCCATTTGCAGCAACGTGGATGGAACTGGAGGGTATTATGTTGAGCGAAATAAGTCAAACAGAGAAAGGCATGTATCATATGACCTCACTGATATGAGGAATTCTTAATCGCAGGAAACAAACTGAGGGTTGCTGGAGTGGGGGGTGGGGTGGGAGGGATGGGGTGACTGGGTGATAGACACTGGGGAGGGTATGTACTCTGGTAAGCGCTGTGAATTGTGCAAGACTGTTAAATCTCAGATCTGTACCTCTGAAACAAATAATGCAATATATGTTAAGGAAAAAAAAAAAAGAAGAAGAAGAAGAAGGTAGCAGGAGGGGAAGAATGAAGCGGGGGAAATCGGAGGGGTAGACGAACCATGAGAGACAATGGACTCTGAAAAACAAACTGAGGGTTCTAGAGGGGAGGGGGATGGGAGGATGGGTTAGCCTGGTAATGGGTATTGAGGAGGGCACATTCTGCATGGAGCACTGGGTGTTATGCACAAACAATGAATCATGGAACACTACATCTAAAACTAATGATGTAATGTATGGGGATTAACATAAGAATAAAAAAAAATAGAGTGGTATCTACAAAAAAAAAAAAAAAAAAAATAGCCATCCAGGGACATTGCCAGGGATTGCATGGGGCTGAGACAATCATGATGGAAGGAAATGCTAACTGGGTGCATAGAGGAGGGCAGCGGGGAGAACCTCGCAAGTTAGCCCTGCCTCAGCTCATGGAAGCTGCAGGAGAAGGAGGGAAATTGCCTGCCTCACACGGTTGTGTCACTAGATAAGACATGACCATCAGTGGCTCTGCTTCCAGCAAAGATGGACATTCAAACATCTCCTGGGGCATCAATTCAGTGACCTACAGGGATCACTGGATAAGGGGGAGAAGGTGAGGTGGATGTTGGCTCTGCATGAAGTTCTATGACCTTCTTTCTTGTAGTTCTTCTGCTTTGGCTCTAGTAACTGTTTAATAATACCAAGTCTTGGGTGTGGTGATGGTAATAGTATGCTTTATATGGCAGCTGAACCACCCATACAGATCTTCTATCCCTACTATGTACAACTAGGTTACTGGTGCAGTTTGCACTTGAAATATGGAGCAACTCAAGGATAAAGGGGTTAATGTAAACATTCATTCATTCAGAAAGTATTTATGGGCGCTTTGTGCCTGGCTATAGAGATTGCATTAGAAGAGGTAATAGACAGTGACACGATATCAGAACCTTCATAGGACAAAGTTGTGTTTCTTGCTGAATGCTTCGAGTTCCATGGAGGCGGTTGGGGGATCTGCTCCACAGGGTCACTCAGGAACCCTGCCTACACCACCTGAACATATGGTCCCTCAGTCAAGGGGACAAGGAAGAAAACCTTAAGGGATCCTACAAGAGCAACTAAATACTCAGTGCAGAAGTGACCTCTAACACTTGCACCCACACCCCATGACCCACAGCAAGGTGGGGAGAGACATGTCATCCTTCTGTGTGCCCAGAGCAGTGGAGAGCCGAGTAAGGGTAAGCCCTGCCATTTTCTGAATAGAATAGAATGAACAGAATATAGTTCTTGCCCTCAAGATGCTCAAGTGTGAATGGAGTGCACAGACAAAACGAAACAGAACAATAGCAGTAACATGGTGTCCCAAGTACTATGATAATTTCTTGCAATTCCATTCTTCCAGCAGCTCAAACCCTTTTTTACCCCCATGTGACCTATGAGCAAATCCTGTCGGTCCTGTCTTCAACAATGTTTTCAGAATGTGCCCAGGATCAGATCCCCTTCCCACCATCTTCACTGTGCCCACGATCATTCAGGCTACCGTCCTGGGCGATCTCCATGCCCCCCTCCCCCCCCCACTATCTGACTTCTGCCCTTACCCACAGCAGTCAGACCCCAATCAGATCATGGACTCTTGTGCTCAAAACCTTTGACTGCCCCCATCACCCTCAGAGTGACATCAGCACTTTTTTTAGTCATCTTCGTGTGTCTTCATGATGCATTCCTTATCACCTCTCTGATCTCATCATCTACAGTCCCCCTTTAATCAATCCACCCCAGACCTAGTGGCCTGCTGCTTTACTTGTCAACACCAGCAACACCTCTTCCCAGAGCCTTTGTGCTGACTCTTCCCTTGTTGAAATGTTTTCTCCAGGAGCCCCAGGGTTCCCCCTCTTACCACTTTCAAATCTTTGCTCAAATGTCAGTGAGATCTTACTTAAATCCTCAGCCCCACCCTCTAACGGCATTCCTGATGCCCCTTCCTGGGTTCTATGGTTTTTCTTCTTTCTTAACCCCAATCACTTTCTAAGGCTCCATAAAACATACTTATTATGTCAATTTTTGTCTTCCTGCTCAAGAGTGTGCATTGAGAGACGGCTAAGAATTTTGTGCTGTATCCTCAACCCCTCAAATGGTGCCTGGCACCAAGGAGACAGTAAATATTTGTTAAATGGGTCATATGAATAGGAGAAGCACAGGTCACAATGGCAGTATAGAGGAAGGACATTTAACACAGACTGGAGGGGGTGACACCTGAGCTGGGTGTTGCAGGACATGGAGGTGTAAGCCAGGCAAAGGATGGGAGGAAGGTGTGTTTTGGGGAGCAAGCCCACATCCATTCACTGATAGGCCAAGAATCTATCTTCAGAATATCTCGGGCCTCCTGTCGAGAGGAAAAATAATTAAAAATGAGTATTGGTAACTCTCTGACAAACAATGGGATCATTATGTCTATATGTGGGTTAAATAGGATGATGCCCTTTTCTAGAAGGGTATGGTGAGGTCCTTCTTGTCAATCTCACCCGGCTGGCAGGACAACCTGCCCCATTTAAGCTCATGCTCTTCTTCTCTTGGCTTCTTTTCCAATCTTAGTGTGTTTATCTTCATAATTTTAATGTGATTTTGAGAACGGAGACCATTTGGTCAGGTCAGAAAGTTTGCATTCCTTTTTATTATGCATTTTTTTTTCATGCAGATAAGGGTACAATGTGATGTTTTTGTTTAAAATAACTTTCTAGCTCTTTTTGTGGATTTTATGCTCAAATTACACTTTCTCTTTATATAACTTTTTTTTGAGAAACTAATGCATCTGGCATTGGAAAAATGTACATTTGTGGTTCTTTTTTTAAAGGAGAATAAAGAACTTCAGTTTTAAAATGGTTTCTAAATGTTTTTAGCTTTAAAAAAATAAGTTTGCTTGAATGCTATCCTAATTTGACTTTCATTTTCTTCCCCTTCAAACCAACATAGGTAAAATCCCTAAGATTAAAGCTTCAGAAACTTCAAGGAAAAGCAGTTGAAGATGATGATTATGATAAAGGTGAGTTTTATTTTGCTTACTGATTATTTCCTCTTTTCCCTGGAATGTCCTATTTCTCTTTTACCCTCATTCATACCTATTTTCTACACCCCAAATGAATGGTGTGCTCTGTTCCTCTGGTCACCTCTACTCAGTAACAATTGACTGTTTTATAGCACTGTTATTTTGTGGATTTCAAAGCACTTTATGAGCATTAATCCTTTGGGTTATACATTTGTTGATTACCCAGAAATACTCCAAGTATTTGCACAATAAAAGCTACATTAACTCATCATCTTCCTGCCTAATGTGTGATATATCTATAATTTATTCATTCATTGAAAAATATTTGTTGTATACCTACTATGTGCTAGGCGTGTGGCAGGAGTAGGAAAATAAGGTGGACACAGGATCTGACCTTGTGATGCCTGCAAATATGAATTCTCATGGAGCTTTTTGATTTCCTACTGTCCAGGACCAGAGATAGGAAATGGGATGAGTTTGAGAAATGCCAGGCTGTGCCAAAGGGGTCAAATGTACCAAATTCCCATGTAGATGGCCACAAATGTCCAAGCTAGAAAGGAGAAGTAACAACATGAGACCAGAAGATAGAGGAGCTGGTTAGATGCCAGAAAAAAACAGTTAAAATGAGGCACCAAAGTAGGAGTTGGAGCAGAAGCAGATAAGGACCGACATGGCAGCTGAGTAGACACAGGGCAGACTGGGTCAAAGGAAGGCTTTCAGGTATGGTTGGCCTGGGAAGAGTCTTCAGGACTTTGGATGCTGATTGTCACATTTCACACCCATTTCTGCTGGATGTGGGGAAGAGAGAGGGCTTAAAATAACTTCCAGGTTCCCCCAGACACTTATGAACTTGATAGATAGTCCTGGTGATAACCAGGTTTAGCACACTCAGGATGGGTCTGGAAATAGAATGCAGACTTAAGGATTCTTCTGGAAGCTGGTTAGCCTTGAGGCTTGGGTCTTCAACCTTACTGACCCGTGATTTCTTATTCCCAATGAATACATCACAGACAGTTGGCACTGGGGCACTACAGGAGTGGGGTGAGTGATTTCTAAAAGGAGGTTGCAAATCCAATTCTAGAAACACCCGGAGCTGGTGCTGTGTAGTGTTGTGATTACATTGACCACTGAGGTGATGTGGGGGTTAGAGCATGACCGGGCGGGAGGAGGGAGAGGAATTTGGGAACAGAGGTGGAACTCTCAACTCTTCCACTCTTTCTACAGGCCATCTTGATTGCATGATGGCCCTGGGTGGAGGCTAAGGCGTATGAGAGAGGAGGTGAGTCTGAGGCAAGGGGCGCCCCGTGAACGGGCACAGCTGTAGGCAGAGAGCAAATGAGCAATGCCTGCAGCAGGGCACACCCGCTGACTTTTGTCCATGAAGGACAACCGAGCCTAGGCTTGAGGCTCCCCACTGCTGGCCAAATTAATTTTCTCTGGCATGAGCCCTTAGCACACAGCTCTCGCTCTTAACACGCAAAGCTGAAGACACAGGTGGAAAACCAGACCCTCTTTTTCTGACCAAGGCCTGAGGAACTTTCTGGACTTGGTTTTCTCAGTGGGCTTCATTAAACAGAGGCCTCACTTCTTTAGTCTTTTCTCCAGATTATCTCTGAAACACACAAGAGAACAAGGTTGGATAAGATACTCCTCGTCAGGGAAGCCAAAGGAATAAAGACACCTTTATTTAGTGTTTCTGTCTGAATTTCTTTTTCTAGTTTCTATGTCAGGCATGAGAATGTCTCCTGAGTGAGAAACTTGGGGACAGGCCCTGCAGTGTGTTTCAAAAGCCTTCCAGGGGTCGGGAGGCATGCTGGTGTGTGAGAAAACACTGACGCAGGGCTTTACTCCCTGGAGGACCAGGCCAGCTGAGTCCTGGGGGCGGGTGGACGGGGGACTGGTCCGGGGCTGTGTCCCTCCTGATCCACCAGGAGTCTGTGGAGGGGACAAGCACCTGGGAGGTACTTAACACACAGAGTCACATACTTTCCTCCTTTATTTAAACTCCCAAATCTGCAAACCCGGTTCAGTGTGTTGAGAGGTCAATGTTCTTATGAAATGTGCAGAGGGCCTGGAACATAGTAGGGAGGCAGGCAGGCAGCGTTTTGTGATGAACAAGAAAGTTACTTGCTGCTGAATGCGTAGGGGCCACGGGTGGCTTGCAAGGACCAAGCACTCTTGTCACCTCAGGATGGGGTTACTTAGCTCATCTGCAGTCCCTGGGATGGGGTGTGTGAGGGGAAGATATTTGTGTAGAACTTGGCTTATTATTTAAAAGATACCCATTGAGCATCTATTGTATAGAAGAGTGCTTCTCAAACTTCAGTGTATATATGAATCACCTGTGTAACGTGGTAAATGCACATCCTGACCAAGTAGGTCTGGGCTGGGGTGGAGACTCTCCGTTTGCGATAAGCTCCCAAAGGACACTCCTGCAGCTGTCCAGAGAATGGCCCTTGGAGTGCTGGGGGGATACAAGGCACACAGGCCATTTTATTTATTTGTTTTTAAAAAGATTTATGTATGTATGTATGTATGTATGTATGTATGCATTTATTTATTTAGCATGAGTGAGAAGAGGGGCAGAGAGAGACAGAGAGGGAGAATCTCAAGCACACTGAGTGCAGAGCCTGACGTGGGGCTCGATCTCACGACCCTGAGATCATGACCTGAGCTGAAATCAAGAGTCAGACGCTTCACTGACAGCCACCCCGGCGCTCTGACACAAAGCCATTTTATTTTTTATTTTTTTAAAGATTTTATTTATTTATTTGAGAGAGAGAGAATGAGAGACAGAGAGCCCAAGAGGGAGGAGGGTTAGAGGGAGAAGCAGGCTCCTCGCCGAGCAGGGAGCCCGATGCGTGACTTGATCCCGGGACTCCGGGATCATGACCTGAGCCGAAGGCAGTTGCTTAACCAACTGAGCCACCCAGGCGCCCCACACAAAGCCATTTTAAAAGGGCTCTGTCCTTTTACTTCTGGACTCTGTCCTTTTACTTCAGGGCTCTGTCCTTTTACTTCTGGACTCTGTCCTTTTACTTTACCACTGGGCTCTGTCCTTAGGATTTTCATCTCTGGAAGTTTCTGGCAGGGAGGGGAGGTAGCACAGTACACAATAGTAAAGTTACACTTAACACGTCCCTTAGAATATAAACTGAGGAAGTTCCAAAAGAGGGGAAACTACTATTTCTTTTTTTTTTTTAAGATTTTATTGATTTATTTAAGATTTATTATTTATTTAAGAGAGTGAGTGAGAGAGAGAGAGAGCGAGAGAGAGCACATGAGCAGGGGTAGGGGCAGAGGGAGAGGGAGAAGGAAACTCCCCACTGAGCAGAAGAGCCTGAAGTAGGACTCGATCCCAGGACCCCAGGATCATGACCTGAGCCGAAGGCAGACATTTAACTGAATGAGCCACCCAGGCGCCCCATGGAGAAACTACTTCTGCTGGAAGTGTGGTGGGTGAGGATCAAAGCCCTGTGGAGGAGGTGGTAACTGGGATGAGCCTCGGAGGGTGAGGAGGATGCATCTGGAAGGGCATTTGAGAGAACATGGAGAGGTGTAAAAGCCACCGTCCCACAGTGTGGTTGTCTTGAAATGGGATGTGAAGTTGGCTGTTGTGTGAAATGGATCACTGCAGGGCCCAGCGCATGGACTGACACACTGTAGGTGATCCATAAATTCTCGTAAACCAACGGCCAAGTCATTAGGGAAGCTTGGTCGATGCTGAGGTGGAGAGTTTATTGTAATGAGATTTGTCGCAATAGGATTTGAGTAAGATTTCCTTTCTCACTTGGTTTTTCTAGGGTTACTAGTAAATGTTTCAAGAATTGTGATTTTTCTTTATTCTCAGCCTTCACGGTCTCCGAGCGGACTCACTTCGGCTTTGGTGTCAGCAGCAGGTGTGGGGCTGTGCTCTGTCTCAGGGGAAGCAGGCTGGCAGAGCCACGAGAGTCTGGAGGGCTCTCCCTTGGTTTTGTTACTCTTCTCTCTTTCTTTCTAGTTTCACTTATGAAGATGACTCTGTGTTCCGGACAAAGAAGCAATTGGCACAGAATAGAAAGTTCCATGTTTTATCTCATCAGAGTGCTGGCAAATTTACTTGCTAATGCCTTGTGGGGAAACCTCAGGGCTCTAATTACATCTCTCCCTCCTCGCCTGGGAAGTAAAGTTAATAATTCCTTATATTCTTGCCTAGAGCCGGGAGAGCTTGGCAGGAAAAGAATAATACCATTTGGTACTTGCTTAGAGGTTTTCTGCAGAGGCTCGAAATGCTTTCCTGGTTTCATCCCATGAGTGCTTGTCCTGTGTCTGTGGTCAGTGGTGGGGCAAGGGTGGGACCTCAGAGTCCTGCAGCAGGAGAAGTTGCCGTCCAGAAATGGGAGATGGGGGGGCGGTGGTTAGAGTCTGTGCCGGGAGGGAGAGAAGGACGGCGAGGGCAATGACGTCCAACGTGGTTGCCGTTCCAGCTGGTCCTGCACTGACGTGTGGCCTGGAACCTCCCCCCTGCTTGTGACCGTGTCCACGGCTCACTTCTGAAGCAAATGGAAGAAGGAGAAAAATTTCAGGAAGTCACCATTTCAGTGACTCACACCCCCGTGATATGTAACACAACTGCCTTTCCCCTGCTGGTTTAGGGTTTCTTTCTTGGTGCGAAAAGTGGCCAGCACTGAACTGGTTCCTCTGTCCTTTGTCTTAACCAATATCCATTACAACAAAAGGCGAGTACAACGTAAGGCCCTGGAAAGAGGAATGATGAAGGCAGAGGCCAAGCATAAGACCACTCTAGAGAGTGACCAGCTCTTGCCTAAATTGCCATAATCTTCATTTTTCTTTCTCTGGCAAGAGTGGTCTATCCACAGTTGCTCTTCGGTGATAGTGTGCAAATCGTCCAAGCTGACAGCCCTGTCTTTCGGGGGGACCCCACTCTCTATCTCCTTTAAGGTTTGGTGTCTGAGCGGCTTCCTGGAGTCGCATGCTTAGAACCCGAAGTTCTGCTT